GTCGCGAGAAAAGAAGTTGTAGATTTAATTGCACTACATGAAAAAGAAGCCATATCACAGAGCACAATGTTAGAAAGCTATAGAAGTAAAGATAATGATTAAAACGTTAGAATTAAACAGAATAAAGGTGGAAAAAGAAAATTGTTTTATAGATCATTTTTAACAGCGATCTATAATTCTAACATCTTTCATAATTCACGAACAACTTTATACTTCCGCTGTTATCGTCTACAACTCGTTAAAACGTGTTTATTATAATAAACCTTTACGTTATATTTACCTCAATTTATAAAGATACAAATAACCTTATTTCTGTATTAAACCGTGCAACCAGCTATAAGTGGAAACTTTTACCTTAAGCTTCGAGTTGCCGCAAACTTTCAATTCATCTTTATGACGTTCACGTTATGTAAAAGAGTACAAACTTTGTGTTTTCGAAATTCTATCCCTAGGAAGGTATTCATAAAGATTACAATTTCCATACGTTCACATATGCTACATGCGAAAGCTAATACAAAAGATTACATGTTAAACGTGATAAAGGTGTATAAGTCGAATTCAAACGAATTGTGTACTCTCGTTTGCAAGCCAGAAAAAGAAGTGCACCTTTTTATTTTTTCTTCTTGGAAGATACAAGTTTAATGAAAAAAATCATTTTGCTATATGATTCTAGAGTGTTCAATATCTTCAGTATTTTAAATCCAGAAAATTCAGTAAATTCGGTATCCTTTTATTCGTAAAATAAGAAAAGTCTGCATTGCTTTGATCTGCAATTTCTCTTAGAGACTAGAATTTTTATTACACATTGGCAAAAGTGTATTGTGCACAATAAAAATTATTTAGAATAAAAGTGTCTAATTTCAGTGGTGTTACGTGTTTCCAGAATGACCTAACAGAAATATGTAAAAATCTTGGCGAGGGCTCCGAAGAAAAGCTGATATCACGCCAATTAATCCATCTCTCCGACAACGAAGACACTTTCAAGTCCCTTATTCCTAACAAAAATCTTTCTCATATCGAAGATTTAAGGCTTTCACAGCTCCAAGCATAATTATCACTCAGTCTTTCGCGTGTAAGCCATATCCTCTTTCAAATATTTCATATTGTTCGGGCCGCGTAATGTTCGATGCTTAAGTGCCGAACCGGTACGCGAGTTTAATCACACCTTGATTTATTCAGTGTGAAATGCTAAGAACTAGTTTTATTTGCAACAGAGTGATACTTGAGGTGATGTCAAAATACTAATTTTCGTAAGACCAACTGCTAAGACTTCCAAAAAAAGGACGCGCTTCTGCCTCGTTTCCTTAGTTTTATCCGCTCGGCCAGTTGCCGATTGGTGGTCGATTTCTTCTCGGGGGTGTAGGTGCTGACTCTTCATTGGAGAAGGTTGTTTGGGTGGGACGCAGCTCTTTCCAAGGGAAGGGGATTGTTGCTTAACATTAGGAAACCCCCATTTTTGGGTTTTTCCCAGGGGTTGCCGCCTGACTTTCCACCGCGCACGTGACCTCTCCACGGGGGTACGGTACGCGCGAGAGGACCGGTACCTCGGTCTGGCGGCCAAGTGTAATTGAACAAGTTTATGACGATAGACCGAGGGTTCGTCGCGATTTCTTGCGAGGCAACACATATGTCAAATCTTCTACCCAAATCCGGCCAATGTTGTATTCTATGGATACTTAAACTAGGAACACTACCAACTTCCTGCGTCATTTCTGCTAACAAAAGAGCCCCGCGAAGTTCGCGTCGTGAAAGGAATACTGATTTAAGTGATACAACTCTCGACTTAAAACACAATAGTCTGGCTTTCTATTTACCTGGCTTAATTCGACAGCGTAGGGAAATGCAAGTTTCACGCGCCTGTTTCGAGTAATCTGCAAAGCTGCGCCAATAGGCATTCGACGTGCCTACCTTCGCTACCTTTTCGCCAACCGAGGAAATTTTCTCGCGAATATGCGACTTGATTGATATTAATATTCGCTGTCGATGTTCACCGAGCGTGGAGCATAAGCATAATCTCTGGAATATTGATTCCTCCTATCCTGCCAACACCTGCCAGAATTGCAGTGTAATTAGTTTTGCCTGCGTTAGAACTGGTCGGACTAAACCTAAGCGCTTCTACATGTGAAGTAACTGCTTCGAATTTTTTTCTATCAGTTTATGTGCTCTTTACTACGACTTTATAGCAACAGTTCTCGTGAATTCGTAATGTTTCGCAAAAAGCGTTAGGCTGTTAATTCTGTTCGACAAAAAGTTTGCATCTCCTTACCTTTTTGAAATCTTTTTTAGTAGTCGTTTAATTATAGACATTGATAATGTTGCACAATCGTAATTTCGAGCGCAGTTGTAATTTTGATTTTGGTTAAATTTTTCTTGCTTTCGTAGTAAATTGCAGAAGACGACTGATTAAACGTGTAAATAAACTGTTCTTTGTTATCGCTGTTACAGATTGGTGATGCAACGTGATTCTACGTGAAAAAATCAATCGATAATGTGCAGTAAGATTTTTTCACAGGAATTTTCATTTCTGAATAAATCGATGTCGAAGATTCTTGGAGTACGCGTGCACTCATAAATGACGTACGGCCCTGAGTTGCCGCTACATCAATCGGTGTCGCCGCTTATTGCTTTAATTTACGACCTCACCGCTGTGCAGAGATGAGAAATTGGGTAGCGAAAAGAGTAAGGGTCTGATTTTTTGATATTGCGTAATAGGCCCACCTTTTCTTACACAATCGTAAAGACACGGCACGTGTTTATCTCGAGAACTACTTGTTTGTCTCCTTTCGAACTTTTTCTCTTCTTGTCGAGCAAAATACGTTGATATAAAAAAACAGTTTAACATTGATTTTCATTGTTATATGGCAAGTCCTTTTTTACAAATTTCTACCGATTCAGAGGTGTAGATTCATCCCCTAACGCAACGACCATGACTCTTTTTACACAGTGTATGTACAAATCAGATCGCTGTCTTCTTCGTGTCTTACTGAGGCTGGCAGAATCCCTGTATCAATTTTGTGGGATTTTGTTGGACCTGTGATCGAGGTTCGGAAAGGTATCAAAATAATAATAATTTAAACTAAATTATTTGAAATATTAACAATTTATTAAGGAAAGTAAAGACATAAAAGAAAAACTAAATGCGCTGGTTCCACTCTGAATTTCGTTTCTCGCGAAAAAACGCAAATTTGGTCGAAACCACTTCTTCGAAAAATCGTCGAAAAAGAAACCTAGGAATTCTTGTTTATTGGTCAAATCTCTTCCCCCACGATTCACGCGATTCCACAAACCTCCACATGGCCGCAGACACCCCAATTCAGCGCCCAAAAGGCAACAAATTTAAGGAGGTCAACACAGGAAGACCTTCGTACTCAAGATTCTCGGAAACCGCGTCAGAATCTACTTTACCTCGGGCTACTTCAAAAATACCCTTCCGCAAAAGGGAGTAAATCCTTTGACACATTCCTAAATCGACAGAAATCCTAAACTCCGAGAAAGTCCTTAAAAGCCTCCCTAGTAAAAACATTCCAACTAAAATCCACTCTCGCAAACTACGTCCCGTTTCCTCCACTCTAATAGGACAAACAAGAACTCTCACCGTTCGCAAGATAAAATAGCTTTTACTTAAGGAACTTTTTCCGAACGAAGTAAATCAACACGGATTCCCTACGCGGAGAGACAACGAAAGTTTGGAAAATAATTTCTTTTTCCTCGATAGCGGACGGTGATATAAAGAGTCGCATTCTCCTGCTGTGTAGCCTGAACCCTTCTATCCGCATGCGGAATTTCTCACTCACCCTCTGCTAGTCCGCGGGCGTTTTGGCGCATGTTTTTCCCGCTCTCTGCCCCGGGGGCTGGTCGGATTGGTGTTGGATTCGCGGGGGTAGTGATTTAAAGACAAATGCTGGTTAGGTGACCCTTTTTCCAGGTCGCCGGCGGGTGAGCCGCGTCCCATCAGCTCCGGTACCAGACTGGAGAACTGGTAGAGTGTGGAAAGTCGCTCTGTTCAATCCTCTGACATAGCAGGGGTTCTCATAACTTTTTGCCGCTTAGGTAGCAGGTCTGTCTAGGTTCGGTGGACGCGTTCGTTGGGCGTATTTCGAGGAGTAGCTCGTCCGGGCTGTTTGGATTAGGATCTCTTTGCCCAGGTGCTGGACGTTAAGCTTTGATATTGTATGAGGTTATTTAGAAAGATTTTGTGTGAACTTTATTGCGAAAAAAGATAAGTTTAATTATTGATGTAATTTCGTCCTTTCTTAATGACTTCTTGCAATGGTGGATGCTTCGTTTGAAAAATTTGGTGGGTTTTGAATTGAGAGATGTGTTGATTGCAATTTTTCTTGCCTTGTCGTTCGTTGATTGCAATTTTTTTCCACGTAGAAAATTATTTAAACTTCTAAATAAGTAATGATCAGAAGTAAAACGTGTTGAACGTATGGTAAACTTCCTATGATAAGTTGCTTTTTTTAAAAGGCGTAATTTTGCAACATGACGCGAGACCGCGTGTCGCGAAGATCACTTCCGAAAAAACTGAAAAACTGCAATCGAATTTTTCGAACGAGGCATCGTCCACTTGGTGAAACGACGGCGGGAAGTCGTTGAAAAAGGAGGAAAGTACATCGATGATTAAACTGATTAAATTTCTTTGTACGTTTTTCTTTCGCAATAAAGTTCATAGAAAAATACGCAAAGACTGTTGAATCGACCTGATATGTGCATCGTCCGCACGATATCCATGACGCCATTTCCCACTTAGAAAATTGTAAAAATCCCATCTATCACCGTGTCACTTCGCGAGTGCAGATACATCCTCACCTGTGCAAATGGCTCCAACTTTCCCTCGCATTCGGTCACTACCGATGTTCTCCAGAGATCCAATTAGCGACTTAGCGAATAAAATTTAACCTTTTATTTTTCAGTAGTACACAAAAATGTAGCATTGCTAAAGAACTTTCATTTCACGATAACGCAAACATGTTGCATCAACTTTTGCATAAAACCGTCTCGTCACATTCGTTAAACATTGCATGCAGTCACATTCTTTTCATCTTTAGTATTGTCTTCAATTTCCTCTGGATCGTCCATCTACAAGAAAAAAAAAAAAAAAAAAACAAATATCAAAAAGTTGCATTTTCTTCTTTTTTTCTTTTTACAATCGTTTTTAGTTTGAAATCCGGATTAAAGAAAATTGTAAATCTAAATTACATTGACAGCTGTTATATGCATTGTGATAAATAAATAAAAAATTGTCAAGTCATAATTCAAGAGCAACGTATTCAAATACAAGAACTCGCTTTAACTGAGAGAAGTCAAGAGGAAACGATTTCATCCTAACGATACTAAAAATAGGTTATAAACCTTGCAAATATTATTAAAGGCTTGCGATTATAGGAAACAGAGAACAAGGAAATGATACATACTTGCTGAATAAGTATCCGTTGACGGACAAGATAATCACTCTGTTGTTCCTCCGGAAAACAAATAGACAATGCCTCTGGAAACGTTTTATCTTCCAGATTGTTTCTTAATCTCAGGAACAAAGAACTCACCATTATGAAAGGAAGTGATATTACGGGCAATTTCAGCTGCACGTAAATTTACACATTTTTCATTTGGACTCTTAAAAATTACTCGCTATTATATACCATCGTTTCATTTTTACGAAATCTCAAATTTGTCTCTTTTGCAAAATAATCTTCTCGGATTTTGAAGAAATACAGCAAAAAATAGAGAATGATTAATTTTAATTCTCTAGATGCAATAAAAATATAACAATGGTTATCGAGGAAAAGAGTAAAAGAAATTTCGATTACGTTTCTGAAGAAGAACAGTAAAGAATACTGTACAATCACTGTACATATGGCTGCAACAACTGTGGCTGCAGCTGTTTGTCCATTAAGTATATAATGAGCTCCTGCTAATAGAGCTGCTGTTAGAAAAGTGTTGTAACCCCAAAGGCCGGAATAAATCTCGTCGATAGGTACACCAAGCATCACACCTAACGAGAATATGAAACTGGGATAAATATCATACTTTCATCCAGAAAACATTTGTAAGCCAGCTTTAACCTGACGCTCAATAAATTCAAGGTTCATATATAAAAATAGTATAATACCCGCCAATGAACCGATAAGCGCACCGAAAAAGGCAAAGCCAGCTGTTGTCGGAGATGAAAGTAGAACAGCTAAATAGATGACGGATCCTGCAACAACGCTTTCAACTGCGAACACCTGCGACGCTGACACTATAACACCTTGAAATATCTGGAACGCGCAGACAAATTAGATAGCGAATTAATTTCATTACAGAAGGAAATATTTTACGTTTAATTGTATCAACGTCTCGACTGCCAAATAATTTTGAACGCGAGCCAGAGAATCTGTGAAACAGTACAGTGTATGACGGTACAGAGCTTGATTAAAAAAATAAACACTTGAAAATAATTATATTTAGTTTTACAAAGTTAGATTTAATTTTTGCAAAATTAAAGGTTCGTGAAATATTCGCCGAAAAATTGTCGACCTTTGAAACGAGGATTTTTGGTCCTACTGGGGCCGTTTTGAAGGGCGAAGCCTCTACTTTCACATAGCTGAATTGATTTTCCTTGAAGATACTTCTTCAGTTAGGATTCAGGACGAGAAACTGAAAGTGGTTCCTTTTTTCGAAAATTTTTCAAATTCCAACGATTGTACGAAGTTTAAAAATATTTTTTCGTGGCTTAAATTGACACGAGTTTGAAGGTTGAAGCTTCCCCTTTACAACGAGCCTTTGAAAGTTGATGTACGATTTTTTGTCGCCGTTTTATCGCACTTTGAATGAAAAGTGTGCCACCGGATTTGGAATAACTGAAGGTATAGTCGGTGGAAGCGATATAGCGGGGTCGTAAATTAACGTAAGAAATTAACTCTGTCGTCTCGTACTCAATAGTAATTCCCGTATAGGCAAAAATTAACCTTAACCTATCAACAGTTAGGACGCAGAAAATTTTTTTAAGTATCCTGCAATGGGAAAAGCAATTCCGAGTTCACATCGAACGTCCCTGAGCGAGATTCAAGCTCGTTATCTCCCGGAATTGCTGTTTTGGCGCTCGGATTACGTGTACTTTAACGCTTGACTGATTTTACGACCTCGCTATATCGATTCCACCGGCTATACGACTGCGATCCTTGCAAAGATCCCATATGATATTGGCTGCATTGAGAGGTACACTTCGACGGCTTTGAAACGATATCCCTCAAGATTTAATGTCGCGATGCATCAATATGCAAGAACGATGCCAAGAAGTGATACAGCAACGAGGGAGTAATACTCCTTTCTAAACACACTAAACGCACACTAAACACGTACACACGAGGTACAAGTCCGACCGTACCTTGAGTTACTCTACTGGCGGTGGCACACTTTTCATTCAAACTGCAATGAAACGGCGAGAAAAAATCGTACATCAACTTTTAAGAGGTCGTTGTAAAGGGGAAGCTTCAATCTTCAAGCTTGCGATAATTTGAGTCACAAGAAAAATTTTTTACACTTCGTACAGTTGATTGAATTTGAAAAATTTTCGAAAAATGGAACCATTTTCACTTTCTCGCTCCGATTTCTAGCGAAACAATATCTTCGAGGAAAATTACCTCCGCGAGATGAAAGTAGAGGCTTTTACCTTTAAAATCACCCCAGGTAAATTGTTGTGCGATTTTTTTTCAGAAAGCTATAGTAATTCAAATATCGGCAATATGTGAGTGATCTTATTTTGAAAACCATTTACCTTGTTCCAGAAAAATCTTGTATCAATGATAACTAAGGCATGTTAAACCTAACCTGTACCTACTCACTTTAAAAGAGCTGCATTTCACCTAACCTAAATTTCACGAAGACGTCTTAAATATATTTTTATTTGTAACATTGGACATCGTTCAGACGTATTTTGGACGTGTTTAAACTTTCACTGGACATTTGTAAAATGTCCCGAATGTCTCGGACAGACGTCTTTAAAACGTTCTCAAGATGTCTGTGTGCTATTTGGGTATTTGGCAGAGTTCGCTCGCTCGATGTAATTTGAAAAAGTAACGAGGACAATTCTGCAGCATTTATCAAAAGACTTTAGTCATTATTCAAAGAAGCACTGTTACATCAGGGTTCAGTGCCATAAGAAGACAAAACTGACACTCTTTAGAAATGCTCAATTGTTACAGCAGAGTTGCGCCAAAGAACGGTTCAGGTTCCCCTACAGTTTCTCCGTTGTTATGGAAACCGCAACGCCGTTTCTACGGATATACGAAGGATTAATGACGCGTAGGAAGCACAGAAAGTATCTTCCCCTCTATTTCGCTGACGGCGAACAATTCTTAGCTCGCTACAATTGGCAGGGGACTACCCGACCTAAGGAACCCTCTTCCCATGAATAAGCTTGCTATAGACGTTTCGTAATACTACGGAAAACAGAATTCGTTCAACGATCGAGAATACGTAGATTATTCTGTCGTATACATTCCATTTTTATTTCCTGTTTTTATTATAACTTTTTAACCCCTTAACCTATGATTTCCTTTCTGACTGTGCATCTAAGCGTCAGCCATTTTCTGTTTCAGTACTGTATCAGGTAACAAAAGCTAATTTTTTACAAATTAATTACTCTTTGTAATCCTGACAAATTAAAACGAAAGATAGGATTGCAATGAACTTTTCTTACTAATATAACTATATTTCTCACATCTTGACCAAAATCTCTGACACGTTGTTATAGGTTAAGAGGTTGATAAAGCTTCAAACGACCTATATTCATATAACATTTTTTTCTTATCTATATTCATAGAAGATGCTGGCAAAGTTTGATCGAAAAAAATTAGGACACCCGGTATGTAACTTTTAACCGTTCCTCGCGTCCAAGGCGCGCTA